GGCCAGTGTAGACGTAGCCCGATTGTTTATCAATCTCACATATATCTTCAGTCCCAGGATAATATGAGCTTACTCTGGCCGACAACTGTACAATTTTTTGTTGTGGCTCTTCCTCCATTTTCAATCAAAGTTTATAATGTGATCTGTAGTTACTAGTTTAATGGGATAGAAGACAAGGAAAAACCAAACAAACAAAGCGGTTGGAGTGGAAAAACATGTAATTGGCAAATATAAAAGATTTTATAAAAGACTCATATCAGAGGAGTAGAGTCTTATGGAACCTAAGGCTAAATAAAACATCTAAATAAAATATACTCAGATACATCTGTTAATTTTTAAGGTGCCACATGAAGCCTTGTTATTATAGACTGGAGTCCTCTTAAGTCACTTTCAATGGATGAGACCAACTAACTTCAAGGTGACTAGGAGCTGGGCCAAAGAAAGTTACAAAATAAAATCTGGTTTGCTGTCTTCAATATGACTTCCCCTATGGAACTCCGTGCCAAGGTTTGCCTCAGTTCACCCTAATTTGCTAAATAAGAAACCAGACCTAAGAGTAGATATAAGCCCACCTGACTTGTGCCCCCTACCTCTGCTCTGTACTGTGACAAGAAGCTCAGGTTTTCCTTCCAAAGTATCCTAGTTTGATTACAAGCATGAAATTGCTGACACAAAAAAGTTTCACCATTCTAATGTAAAGTGTGATTTTGAATCACTTTAGTTAAACTATTACAAAAGGCTTCGCAAATACTAACTGCAGTTGAAGAGTGGATTATTTAAAGACAGCTCAAAGGAATTAGGATTTGTTTTAAGATAAACCAAAATAAGCCATTCTTCAACTGAAATTGGCATCCACCCAGTTTTCGCAATTCCTTGTGTTGACAAAGCCTCACACTCAAAGGACAGACATATCTTTAATGTGTTCAAAATAAAAATTAATTTCCATAAAATCTGCACAAACACACCAGAGAGCACGGCACTGATTTCCAGAGTCTGATTAGAGTCTAGATGCTAGATTTTTGACACATAATTGCTGTCTTTGGGGGATCTGTGAACCCTATAATGTAAAATCACTTATGCATTGTGAAGATTGTTTTATATGGATACTTTTCAATGCAATTGTTCCTTTGTCCCATCTTGAAGGAAGTATGGGGAATACAGCTGACAAGGTTTTGTAATACAAAACAGGCAATCTTATTCTCCTATCTCCATGCTTAGCACGAGAAAAAAATTCCAAAAACTTAGGGGTCTATTAGAATAATCTCTTCATGGAAAATAGCAAAAACCATCCTGTCATTTAAACTCTAGACACAGCACTTGAGAATTTACTGTAGAAAATGATCCTTCTCTATTCTAGTTGCTTCCCTATCCTTATAGATATTTTCTACATCTAATGCCTATGAATAGTGAGGATGCTCTGCCGCTTATAGGTACTTTAGGCTCCCCACCATGAAATGTTAAGCTTTGACAAAGGACAAATACATCATCAGTATTATGAGGTGATAATGTTTTATTGAAGTCTCAGATGAAATTATTTGAAATTAACCACATAATACTAGGAGTCCACTGGAAGTTTAAAGACGAACAATTTTACTAGGGTATTAGGGCATAAGCTTTCATGAGCTACAACTCACTTCTTCAGATGCTGAAGGAAAAAAGCAAAAAGAGAAGGGAGTGCTAAATAAATCAGAGTAGTTGTGGCTCAGCTCCAACAGTGATGAAAAGGTGAGAGGGCCCATTATACTGCAAGAACCACTCAATGTGTCTATTTAAATCTTGGTTTAGGGTGTCAGATTGACATATGAATTGCAGCTCAGCAGTTTCCATTTGCAGTCTATTTTTGAAGGGTTTTTGCCTCAAAAGGGCAACGTGCAAGCCTGAAACTGTGTGTCCAGGGAGGATGAAGTGTTTTCACACAGGTTTTAATATGTTGTCAGTTTTAATATCCGATTCGTGTCCATTCATTCTTTTGCATAGACAGAGTCTGGTTTGTCCGATGTACATGGCAGAGGGCATGGCTGGCATATGATGGCATAAATTACATGAGTAGATGTGCACGTGAATGAGGCTTTGATGGCATAGTCTTGCCACCCCCACTCTGACAACCTACAGGCATTGCCGGAGGGGGCAGCCCCCAGAACCTCAGCCTCCTCCCTCAGCAGCCTTTAGGTCATGGGGATGTGGCGGTTGCTGCCAGAGGGGGCAGCTCCTGGAGCCTTGTCCCCACCAAGACAACCTGCATGGCATGGGGGGGGGGGGCACTGGATGGGGCGACAGCTTCTGGAGCCTCATCCCCCAGGCAGCCTGCAGGCTGTGGGAGAGGGCCTGCTGGGAGGAGTTGCCGCTGGAACAGTGCCACCCGTGCCCCCACAGGCAGCCCCAATAAGGCTCCCCCCACCTCCAAGCCCCTTTCCTTGAGTCCTTCACCTCCCACCTGCCTTGACTTTAGCACCCCTCCTCCTACCCTGAGCCCTCCCACACCTCCCAACACTCTGCCCTAAACCACCTACCCCTTACCCTTCCTCTCTCCCAACTCTCACACCAACCTTCATTCTCCTTCATTTTTGAAAAGTACAGTCATTGAACTAGAGCATATTTTTCATTTATTTTTCAAAGAAAAAAAAATCCTTCAGTTAAAGACCTGAGCCACACTGGGTACATCTGTTAGTCTACTATGTATCTGAGAGTTTGTGCAACTATAGATCTGTTCGTCTGAGTCCATTTGTTCAAGAGCTCCTCCTAAGTCAGGCATGTCCAAAGTCCGGCCCACGGGCCAATTGCGGCCCGTGTTCCGGTTTAATACAGCCCCACGGGTAATTTGGCAATATCTATCTTTTATGGCCCCCAATGAATCCATATGTATTGAGATGAATACATTGTAAAATCTCAGTTAAAGTCAGTTGGTCTAAATCAGTTATAAATATATTTGGACACAACATGTATACTTGGTGTTATGTTCCTGTTCGTATTTTTTGAACTTAAAAGTTGACAGACAACCTTTATTACCAATAATATGTAATGTACTTTACAATGTTCCTGACATATTTCAGCTTCCTGGATTTTTTTTTTCATCTGGCCTTCAGATATGAAAGGCAGAGTGATTTAACACCTGTTTAGATTTGTCATCCATGTGACGAAATGAAAAGTATGCCGTTTGCAATAAACTTTGCATAAAATAGTTAATTTGAGTTTAATTTTAATGGTTCACAGAATGTCAGGCAAAATGGTCGGCCCTCACGCATGTTCACTTCATAAAATCTGGCCCTCTCTGAAAAAAGTTTGGACACCCCTGTCCTAAGTGGTAAGAGCTAGGCCCAAATGTTGTATGCAGCTTCCTCTTATCATAACTTGAAGCCAGGTCAGGGTTTGGTTGTGCCAGGACAATGGAATGTGCCTGGAATTTGATTGTTTCTCATCAAATGGAAAGGGAGGAATCTGGTAGGAGGGACAGTTATACTATGGAATGACCACAGTGTCAGCAAGGGGTCGGAGATGGAGACTGGGGCAGTTATAACCCCATTGGGCCAGCAATAGGCAGGAGTGGAGAAAAGAACAGCTATCTACTATATGTTTCAGAGAGTTTGTCTGTGTGTTTGTCTGTCTGTCTGATTCCTCCTCTAGCAATGCCAGCGGCAGCTGCAGTGCCCATGGACAGGCATTTCTCAATGGCCTGAAACTGCTGCGGTAAAAGCGGGCTTGGGTAATCCTCTCTCCCCAGAGCAGCCTGCATACTGAACCCCTCACCCCCAGCCCCATCCCAGAGCAAGGATTTAAATGAAAAAAATAGTAATAATTAGAGTTAAGGACCTGAGTAACGCTGGAAATCTTCCAGTTAACTACTGTAAAACCTTTCCTGCATCATTGTTGAATAAGAAAGCAAGTACAATATGTTCTAAGAAGTCACAACTCGGGAACAGCCAAGCACATTGTAAACAACCACAATTCCAGTTTATTAATGACATCTCCAATACATAGGCAAATAGAGACTGTGGAATCCTGAGCAACTAACAAGAGGCTCTAGTGAGGAGAGTTTGGGAGTATTTTATGCTGTGTACCTGAGAAACTAGTTTTTCAAGAGTGTCTGCAGAAATGAGAAACTTTGCATAGTGATGTAAATCACAAACTGACAAAACACAAGGACTAAGGCAAGTGCTTATTTTCACTGGAAGGGACTCAAGATTGAAATGAATATTAATGTATGACACCCACTGAGTGATTAAAAAGGGGACATGATTAACTGTATTCCATCCTCTCTCACGCTCTGCTCTTTAATTCACTTACACGTAGGCTGTGTCTACACTTCACCCCTTTTCCAGAAAAGGGATGCAGATGAGACAAGTCGGAATTGCAAAGGAAGCGGGGATTTACATCCCTGCTCCATTTGCATGAACATGGCTGCTGCTTTTTTCCGGCTCGGGGCTTCGCCGGAAAAAAGCGCCAGTCTAGACAGGGATCTTTCGGAAAATAAAGCCTTTTCCGAAAGGTCCCTTATTCCTGATTTTAAGAGGAATAAGGGACCTTTCGGAAAAGGCTTTATTTTCCGAAAGATCCCTGTCTAGACTGGCGCTTTTTTCTGGCAAAGCCCCGAGCCGGAAAAAAGCGGCAGCCATGTTCATGCAAATGGAGCGGGGGAGATGTAAATCCCCGCTTCCTTTGCAATTCCGACTTGTCTCATCTGCATCCCTTTTCCGGAAAAGGGGTGAAGTGTAGACACAGCCCAAGATTTTAAAAACCTAATGTTAACCCTGCTAACCAACCAGATTGCCAGAGGTTGCCCAGCACCCAATTTTTCCTACTAAAGTCAACAGAAACTACTGGTACCAAGAACATTTAAATCCCATTCTTTATTTGTACCCTTAGTATTAGCATTCTCTTTTCCAAAATCTTGACCGTATTCTATATTGGGAGTTAAGCATGTATGATGACCCCTAGTAAAAACTAAAGTTAAGAATAGTGTACATTAAAATCTGCTTTTACACAGTTAGCAAAAAGGTACTTACCACACAGCTCCTTTGTATCCACATTGCTGTCAGATGGAAGATGCACGTAAAGGGAGAAAGCAGAAAAAAGCGTTTAATTTAAAGGAAAGAGAAAGGGCTTATATAGAATTTTCCTAGGTTTATCGTTACAGATGGAACAAACACTCACAAACTTTAGAAAATCTCTGATCCACGTCTCAACTTTATAAGTCAATCCTATCTCTACTTAATACCTACACCTCTGATAAACTACCCTCCAGCTAGCTGTTAACAGTCTGTGGTGATTTCAAGCCTTTAATACTTTCTTACAGCAGAGCAATGCCAGACATATTACAATCTGGATACAGACTCAGTGGTGAGAGGTCCCTTAGCTGCCAAGTCTGGAAGGAGTGGTGGTATTATTATTAATTATTATAAATACCATCTCTGGGACTTTCTTCTCAATTGGAACATTTCTGAGATTTGCCAGAATATATAAGCAAGAAAACCAGCACCATTCAGTTGCATCTAATGGAGGCACTCTTGGCTGATGACATGGGCATCAGCCTAACCATGACAAGCTTTATAGTTTTGCATTGATCTAATCAGTAACTCTGTGCACTGAAATAAATTCATTTTAATTGCTGCCATATTTATATTGGTATTGATAGCCAAGATGCAGAAACATTCTTCTTGCATTTGTGTTTCAGAAGCAACACTACTCATTTACCATAAAATATTTGCACATCCTTTATAAACTTCATATGTAACTACTTCATAGTTGTAACTCTCCTTCTGTTGCACTCATAGAACTATAAAGCCCGTTGGTGGTCAGCAGGACACCTGCACATTCTCTGAAGTAGCTAGATAGTCTAGGTTTATATTTCAAAGGTACCTAGTTCAAATCTCATCAGGACTGTATTTCCATCAACAACAAAATAGGGCAATTTAGTAAGAGAACAGATCAGCCTTGAGACATAGCCAGCCATAACCATGTGCCACAGCCAGCCATAACCATGTGCCAACAGTGTCTGTCTGTTATGTATATTGGACCAACTTCTCAAACACTTCACCAAAGAATGAATGCCCACAAATCAGATATCAGACAGTTTCACAAAGAAAAAACAGTTTCCTGTCATTTCAACCAGACTGGGCATTGTCTCAAGGAGCTCACTACATGTATATTACTTCAAAGAGAATTTAACACCAGACTACAAAGGGAAACCTCAGAACTATCATTCATGCTTAAATTTGACACTTTATGAATGGACCTTAACAAAGATGCTAACTACCTTACCCATTACAAAGATAGCTTCTCCAATTATCTCCCCTAATATCATTAAACTAATGATAGACACTAACCTCCCCCCCCACACACACACACCGTTCTAAAATCTGACCCCCCCCCCCCCCCCCCCCACGGTCCCCCTCCCCCCATTCTAAAATCTGATTTGTCAATTTTATATGTGTTCACTTTTTTTATTGTATCCCTTTGGTATATACAGTCATGCCAATTTTCTTCCACAATTTGATCTGAAGAAGTGGGTCTGGCCCACTTAGGTTTATTCATCACCTAATATACCATCCTGTTACTCTTTAAAGTGCTGCATAGTCCTGTCTTTTGTTTCAGCAAGACCAGACTAACACGGCTACCTCTCTATTACATGTTAAAAAGGGTTACCCAAAAGTTCCACTGGAGGCTGGAGCACACTCCTCAGTTATTCTGTGGATTAATGTACACACAGTGGGGATTGTGGCAAGGATGGACAGGACAGGCTGCCTTCATCCTAAGGATGAATTCAGCTCCCTTGGCTACCAGTAGGAATTTAAATTACTGTAGCTTTGGCATCTTGCTGTCTTTAGACTAGAGTTCACTTCTGGATGTGTTAGAGCTAGGCACATATCTACGTGTAACGTTATGTACTGGTGTTATTTAAGGGAAAACTTTGAAAAGAATCAATGCAATCTGCTCCTTCATTTCCCTAACAGCTAAGCACAGAAATTAAGAGTACAAATTTACGCTACTAATTTCCTGATGTGTGCTTATAGAGGCAAAAAATATTTCAATTCTTTGATTTGATTGTGGAAGCAAAATGTTAAGGGGAAAATTGCACTTTCAAAAGGGAAGCTGTTTGCAAATATGGCCTTTAATCTGTCCAGATGAATTTTACCAATGATCCAAGGCAAATGGAAAAAGAGGGCTGTGAGCTTTTCTTTTCATTCAAGTTCTCAGCTTGGTCTTGTTGGCTCTTCGCCATCTGGTTTTGAATCTACTTAGCCTGCCCCTCCCTGCTGTACCAGGGCCGGCCCTTACAGAAAACTGACTGCCACTCAGGTGTTCACACAATACTCCCAGGTACCCCAATTTGGCAGTCCAGCCCTATTCAGGCAAGTACTAAAGCACATGTTCAACTTTAGACAAGTGTATAAATTCCAGTGACTTCAATGACATTTTGGTATGTGCTCAAGTGCTTTGCTGTCTACAGATGCACGGGCTTAAACACTGTAATGAACTGGGACCAAGACACAAATATATGGCTCATTTCCCTCTCACTACAGACCAAAGAGATACCAGTTCTCTTCCATTGCTGAGTAGCTTCAGTTTTCAACATTGAATTTTTCCACCATATACACTTGCTCTATATTTTGGTTTAAAGATACATACAGCAGGCACCCTAGTCTTGCACCCTGGGGACCTGACTGGTGCTGAACCAGAGAATTTGCAGAACCACAGGTCAATGTTGTCTAGCAGCATTATCAACTCTTCCACTGCTTACTGGACTGTTAGAAGACATTTAGGGGTAAATTAGAGCTAAATAACAGCACAGAACACAGAGAACCAGGACTGGTGGCTGTAAACAAACTTTATGAGACTGCAGGAAATTTGGCCACACACAGGATAAATGGACATCAGGCTTACTAAAATCATTCCAGACCACGATTGTTGCCAGGCCAGAGAGTGCCAGATTAGAGAGGGTCAACCTGGGCATTCAAATACACTCTGAATAGTAGGAGCAGGCTCCTTCTCCTTTCTATATGTTCATAAACAGAATGATTTCAATTAAATAATGCTGCATCAACTCTTATTTTAACCATTTTAAGCATATGCTCCTACATAACAATATTGGGTTGATTAAGTGTTTTCAAAGAAGAGTTGTCTCCAGACTCAACCCTTGTGTTCAAACAGAGTACTTAATGGATGAATTATAAACCATAATAATAAAAATGAATTATAAGCATCAAAAGGTGCTTGCAGTGAATAAACTGACATTGCCTCAGTCTAGAGTTGTAAAGGGCACATGAGCCTTCTTTGGGATAAACTGAATCTCAGCCCAGAAGTGAAACATCTGCTGCATATGTCTTCAGAAGTCACATTTTGGATAATCTCTTCCAGGAGATTTCATTTTTTTTATCAGCCAACTGAGCAACTAGCTTGTTTCCATCTTCCCTTGAATCCTGTAATATTTTTAGCACAGTTTTTGGTCTTGATAACTGTTCTGGGCAGTAATTCTGTTGAGAGTTATTAACTTCTATTTTCTTGCTGAACAGATTTCTGGAAACCTTTTGAGCACCTGTTTATTATGGGGATTAAAAAATGGTGGTTCTTCTAAAAAACTGCCACTTTATCTTAATTCCGTCTGAAATTTATCATCTCCCCTGAGTTCTAAGACTAGTTCACTGAATTCTATAACATTTCCAGAACTACAGGGAGTTAATTTCCATGAACTCATTTTATTTTCTCATTAAAAAAATGCCATTGAAATGCTAAATGTGCAGATGTGAGGCATTGTTTGATGATCTATCTTACTTTAGAAAGAATAGTCCAAAATGCTTCTGAAACAAGCAATTGCTTAATTGGAGTCTTAACAATTCACTCCTTATTTCTGCATTAAAAAGGAGATTTCTTTTTAATGCAGAAATAATGCAAAAGGGATGTTGCAAGTGCAGCCCTTGTCTATTGAGAGCTCACCAGAGCGCGCTAGATGATGCAGTAAGTTAATTAAATAGCCTTTCACATCTGGATTGCTGAAGGGACAGCTTTAATATTGGCCACACTGGACAGTCTCTATGGGAAAGAATTAATGGACACAAATCAGATATTCAAAAAGGCAATACAGGCAGTCCCCGACTTATGTCGGATCCGCACTTACGAAGGGGGCTTTCTTGCCCCGGAGCTCACAGGCAGCGGTCAGCCACCTCGAGCTCCGGGGCGAGAAAAGCTGCTCCCAGTGCCCCTGGTCTGCTGGGGACCGTCTCCAGCAGACCAGGGGCATCGGAGCAAACCCGCAGCAGCGGCGGGTTCCCGCGCTTCTGAGGCTTTGCCAGAGCAAAGCCTCAGAAGCGGGGGACCCCGCCGCTGCTGCGGGTTCGCTCGCGGTGTCCCTGGTCTGCTGGAGCCGGGCTCCAGCAGCAC